TTCCAGGGTGTCACAGGATTGCCGAAAATAATTCCGGAATTCTGGTAGAGGACGGGGACCGGACGGGGATCTGCATGTAATATTGCTGTGCCCATGCAGCTGAGATCGGGTGTGTGCGCGAGTACTTGTACGATCCACTTCCCGCGCCCTTCCACTCGGCTGTGTTCCGAAGCTCTCGTCTCTTGGCTCTCTCATCCATAACTTTCTGGTCCTTGGTGAAGTGGTTGATGGCTGGATAGAGGTAGGAGTCTCGCTCTCCTACCGGCCCTCCCACTCACATCTCTCTCTCTCTTCTCCTAGCCGGACAGGTACGCGAGCCGCTTTCCCTCGTTCCCGTCCTGTCATGCAAGATACCGCCGGCTCACACTTATAAGCGTCACCCATCCCATATCATAACCCGGTCCGACCTCCCTCCTTCCCGCTCCGGCGAGTGAGCCTCTCCCCCCCTTTTCAGACCTCGACAGCCGCCCCGCCAAAATGTCCGCCGTGGACGACCAAAACCACCCAAACCACACCCTGGGCCCCGCCCTAACCGTCGTCTCCACCATCCTCATCACCCTCGTCCTCCTCACCACCTGCATCCGCGCCGTCATCCGCGTCAACCACCGCAATGTCGGCTACGACGACTACACCATCCTCCTCTCCGCCTTCCTCGCCGTCACCCGCTACGTCATCCAGATGGTCCAGGTCTGGAAGTTCCAGAACGGGAGGCACCGCCAGTACGTCACCGATTACAACTACCACCAGAACAACATGCTCGGCTGGTACGCGCAGATCTGCCTCTTCGCGGGCATCTGCACCCTCAAGGTCTCCATCATGCTGCTGATATTGCGCATGAAGGACTCGAGGACGCTGAAGATCGCGATGTACACCGCCATCGCGGGCCTGGTGGTGACCAACGGCGGTGTCATCATCATCCTGCTGGCGGAGTGCAGGCCCGTCGGGTACTGGAGCAAGGGTGCACAATGTTGGAACCCGAAGGTCCGCATTTATTCGATATACTGCACTATTGGTAGGTCTTGCTTGGGTGTCACCCCGTGTGTTGATCCAGTGAGGGACGGAGGGAGAGAAAGAAAGGGAGAGAAATAGGAAGAAAGAAAGAAAGATGGAAGAAAGAGAGAGAGAGAGAGAGCCCGCGCTGACGATTATCCGACAGCTTACTCGATCGTGACCGATTTCATCTGCTCGCTCCTCCCGCTCGTCGTCATCTGGCAGGTCCGCATACCGATGAGGACCAAGATATTAGTCTGCTGTCTGATGAGCTCTGGCCTTGTGTTAGTATACACCCATCCCCCCCGGCCCCAACCTCGACTAACAATAACCCAGAGCCACCGCCTTCGGAATCGTCCGCGCCTCCTCCCTCGGCCTCGGGGTAAACGACCTAACCTGGTCCTACGCCCTCGCAGCCATCTGGTCCAACATCGAGTACTACATGGGCATAATACTCGCCAACCTCGCCCTCTCCCGCCAGGCCTACAGGTACTTCTACCCTCAAGCCAGCTCCTCCGCCGGCAACTCCTCCGCCACTCCCTATTCCTTTCCGCTCTCCGGCCTTACCGACAACTCGCGCTGCCCCGACCGATTCTCGCGCAAGCTCAGGGACCCCGCCGGCGACCTCGGCCTCGTCGAGCAGGACACGTACGTCCAGTCCACGTCCAGGGGCCGGGTGAGCACCTCCCAGAGCGAGGGGAGCGAGATCCCACTCGAGCCCGGGACGGGGATAAGGAAAAAGACGGAGTTTTGGATGTCGAACGAGGGGGGTGGGACGAGCGGGGTGGAAAGGCGGGAAGGGGAGGGAGGATGAGCAAGTGAGAATTGTGCTGCTTGAGGTTGTGTGCGGAGTAATGAAAAAAAAGAAAGCGCGGAGAGGAAGAGCCAAGTGCTCGCCTTCGCACCATCCTGCGAATCTTGCTGTCCTTGGGGCGGTTACAAGCTTCACCTCCCTGAGCAAGTCCACGTATAGCGCAGCAACGCGCACCCCTTTCTATCGGTCTCACGTGAGGCGTTCATCAGGGAGAAAACCTTTTCCCTGTGCCGTGGAACAAACTGGGTTATTGGGCATGGCGTTGGCTGGAAGGAGGGATCTAGAAGGAGCTCTATGAGGAGCTGGCGAGCTGGCCCCCCATCTACTCCCTTGTCTCCCCAAAGAGGCCTTGAGAGCTTTTGGTGCGTCTGACTTGGGGCCCACGGCTCTAGATCCCCCACAAGAAACCAACCAACACCGAGGACATAGGGCGCTCGGAAAGCGGCAAAGGAGCTTGAGCTCTGAGCTTGACTCTATCTATCAGCTCACGCAGGATGGGAGTTATAGACTGGCCAGTCTTGGCCTCCCATAGACATATAATTATTAATGACTGATGATTTCGGCGCGGGCATATTTACGATACAGCCGGGAAATAATCCTGTTGTCCCCCAGTCCACCGACCATCACCGCCCGGGCTACCCAAGGTCGGCGTGGCTCAGAATTGTGGTATAGAAATGCTATGAGTGGTACCGCAACAAGATAACCCTGCAGAAGGGGCAGAAGCTCCCTACAGTGATGTCTTGCTTCCCCATAGGAAGGCATGACATGGGTCGTTCTGCCCACTGCCAAGGATCCAGTGGCGATGAGCACCAAGCAGCACCCAGTCTGGGACCTAATCTCGATGGGATAGTGGACGCAGATGAACCCCCCGAGTTTTAAGGTTGCGGCGGGGGCTGAGAGAAAAAGTTTTTCTCAAACATGGTGATGTCCTTCACCTCATCTGCTAGGATACAACCCTAAAAAAATGACGACTCTATTGTGAACCAGACGCTCAGATGTCCCTTTACAGGCCGTCACTCCCACACCTCACACCGTGTGCCAGCTAGCGAGCCCAAAGTGAACTCAACTTGAACGGTGTGCCTCTCCCGAGGGACCACCATGTACCTCTCCCCGAGTGTGTAAGATTGGGTCTGGTATCAAACCCACCTAGGCCGAATATAGCTCTCGGCATGATGACTCGAAGTTAGCACTGTCCAATACCCTGGGAACCCACCCGTCCAGGTAGTCGAAATATCCTCCTTACACACCTGCCAGTCTTGGGGTCGGGGAAGCCTGTCATGGACGAGACGTTTGTCAGGGGCGCCCAGGAGAAGTAGATACCACTGCTGATCTTGTCGAGTTCGACGGATTTGAACTGCGGGAGAGGCTATTGGGAGGTCAAAGTCTGGCAGAGCGATAGGTCCGGCGGGGCCGGAGTATCCCACACAGGAAGCGTTGGCTGCTCGGAAGGGAGATGGATGGAGACAGAGGAGGCCACACTATAACGTAAACCGGCATTAGCTTCATAGTTAGGTGATGGAAATGGAAAGAGGGGGGTATAATTACTAGCTTTCTTTTGGGCAGTGAGCCCGGAAATGGAATGCTCAGGAATTACGATGAATGAATATTGACTGTAGCATTCTGCCGAGTAATCGGGAGGGCGATCTAGGCGTTTCATCGCCTTTTTGCCCATAGAATCGATTGTGAGCATCAAGGTCCCGCTCGGAGCACCGGGTGTCACACATTGGTGCATTGGAACACACTCCTGCGAGTTGTGGCACTACCTGCAGTTTGGGTAGCGGCATGGTAGATATCCGCTGACTATTGCCATCGAATGGCCGCGCTATGGGAAAGGGAAGAGTTTGGTGTGCTGGTGGTAGGATGTGCCAGTGTCATCTCCGGTTACCTTGGAGAGTTTAGCGGCAGACGAACTCTACTTTGTTGAAATGGGGTCCGAGCTAGCTACCGGATTCGGATTATTAGGTATTGTTGAAGAGGCGAAGGCTCCGAAAGTGCTCGAGGCACTAACTGTTCCCTGGGGGTGGGATTCCACCCCAGTCCGACGATAACCACTCGTCCAATCTGCCGACCTCATCATCGTGCCAGCCGTCGGGAAGGGTGGCGTTCGTAGGTCTTGCAGAAGAATGGCTGCTAAGGAGCTCAGCAGGAGGATTTGGATGGGCTTTTATATAGTCCAGGGCCGCGAGGACGTCTCCCTCGTCGGTGGAAATATCGGGATAAGGGGATCCCAGCTCCCCTCGACGAGGGTCTTCCGGCACGAAAGGGATCAGAAACATGCTGTCGCTGGAAACGATCTAGAACCGCGCCGCACTGCGAACGCAGGTCATGATCCAATGCAATCCGGTGGCGAAGTGAGATAGGCGCAAGCCGCCGTGAAGGCTTGGTACTCCACGTTCATGATGTCGGAAGTAGAGGCGTCTGCGCGCTTAGCCTTCACGAACAATATGGTGCCGACGACGTTTGCCTGGGAATTCATCTGTTCCACCACGAGATGGACTCGCCTCTGATCTCCAGGGAAATGAGTTGGGGGTTGCTGAGATGAGACAACCCATCTGTCATCATTGAAGACTTTGTGATTGAAATAGTATTCCCACAGACGAGTGATTGCCCAATCTGGGTGAACCTGGGCATCTTCCCATAGCTTTCTCAGTCGAGGATTGGATGTGATAGGCATTTCTTCAAGCAAGAGTAAGATAAGTTGTGAAATGTATGGCGAGGCTTGAGAGGAATGGATGATGGGAATCTGAGACATCTGCTGCTGCTATACGCCTCTCATATCCCGGGCACACTTAGATTTCGCCCTCCGTCCCGGCGCGAAGGGGAGGCCTGGCCAAGGGCTTAATAAGCGCCAGGATGGGCTTTTATCTCCGTCCACTATCCCATAACGACTGGGTGCTAATACCCTGGCTGGTGCCTGAAGCTTAAGCGATGGACCCTCGACCCTGGAGATATAGTATCGGCTGCTGGGGATTCCGGCCTGCGGATTCAAATTTGGGCTGATTATCAGGGCAGGATAAGGCTCCACCAGCTGTGCTGGTATTTGAGATGGATAAATTGGGATATACATTTGCTACTCAGCCAAAAGTTGTTCTCTACGTATTAGCTAGTGCTTATATTTACCGCAAACTCGAGGACAAGGTATGGTCAGCCTTTAAGGTAGGAAACGCTCAGGTCTTTCTCCTTAACGACGAGGAACGGTCTAGTGGCCGAATGGCAAGGCGTTTGGCTTGAAACCAGAAGATTGTAGGTTCGACCCCTGCCTAGACCATGGTTTCTATTTTTGCTCATGTGGAAAATGGATGTTGCTTTCTCGAGTCAAGGGAATCGTTCGGGAGACAGTGTTTTGGGAATGGAGATGGTGTTTGCGGATTGTGCCAGCATGAGGCAAGGACTAGTAGTGCCTTTCGCCAAGAATTATATAGTAAAGTCATTGTGTAAGTAGAGCTAAGCAGCACACCCTTGTATGCCCAACGGGCGGCTTCTCTGGACAGTTTGCTGACTCTCCTCGCATCAGTTTTGCCCCATAATAATGCACTGCAATGAAAGCAGCTCGCTCATTTTGCCCGTGCCTATCCATGTCTTCAATGTTACCATTAATACCGGCCACCATATTTTCGCCGGGTTGGGGACCCACCTTCTGCCAAGCCGGTCCGACTTGCGTCTCATTCTTTGGCGGCCGCGACGGCCCGATACAGCAACAATCCTATCAAAGGACGGTTCGGTGGTGTAGTTGGTTATCACGCTTGTCTAACATCCAAAAAGGTGCTGGACACAAGAGGTCCCCGGATCGAGCCCGGGCCGAATCATCATTCTTTTTTTGCTCTTTTCTTCTTTTCTTTAGCACTTTTCCTTTCCTTTTTCTTTGTTCTCCCGTTATTCTTCGCCTTCTGACTCACATGTTTATTCTTCTTCTTGTCCTCGTCCCCCAGTCTTCTTTGCTTCTTGGTGGATATCGAGGTACTAAATCAGATACTACTTGGCAGGCGCCACATCGATGTTCAAGCACGCATTACATGTATGCAGTCGTTCGCCGGGCCGGCCGGATGGCGTTCCACAGCCGATGATGTTCCCGGATCTGGCTCGTGGCGTGCCATCCCTGCCTATCTGGTTCCTTCAAATAGCTGCAACTTGCGCGATCAAGGCATCTTTGTAAAATGCTGCCGGTTCATCCGGTCAAACGCCCCAGGAACCGTCTGCAGCCCATCCCTTTCCGTTCCTGCATATAGGGCTCCGGAGCTGCTTGTTATGGCTGTCGACGGCTCACTCAGGCTCTGCTAATCCTGAGCAAACGGACAAAAGGAATTCTCCTGAGCTAAACTGGTAGGAATCGGATGATTCCAAGTTTGACCCTTGGTGGGGAAGTAAACGCATCAACTATGTCTTCTTATTTCACCTTAACAGTCTTATTTTTGCTTCACTGGCATGAGAATACCATTTCACTGATGCTCTGTATGTCCGATACTAACACGGGTGCAAGGAGAGTGGAGAGAAAAAAAAAGTAATAATCTCTCTTAACAGAACCGTCACTTATTACGCTGTGGGTCTCGCCGGACCAAAATTGCACCACATAGACAAACACCTTCTAATGCAACTTTTTTCAGCCGTCCTTTGTACTTCTTTTGCAAAAAGGTAAACTTGCTCATAGCTAGCACTACTTGAAGCTCTCTAGGGATTTGCTGCCCCATATTACGAGAAATACAGGCAGCATAGGAAATTATACTAAGGTAGTAGCGCCGGACATTGCGTGATCGCTCAGCCCATCAATAGTCTACTTCCACACGCACCTGAATCCCCTCGAAAGCTATTTGCTCTACTTTAGTCAGGAAGATGGGTAGGATCCCAGTGTAGTATTGCAACTTGCAACTTCACCGGCAGCGTCGTAGACTTCAGCTTAAAGAAGGGGGTAAAATTGAGTGGACTGCACCCAAAATTTGTCCCTAATGGATAGAAAGTCCCGAGCTATTATCGCCCGAAAATCACATCATTGGTCCGAAGATCGCCATATCGTTGTATTCCGCGGCACTGACAGTTTCCCGGTTCTGGCCTTGAGAATAAGGTAGGAATGTAATATCAAAGGGGGTGGTGCAGTATCCGACAACATGGATAACCTTGGTTCGTGACATCACGGAGAGTTACAGGCGTATGGCGATCCTATCCTTATGTATGGCGATCCTGTCTTGATAGCCTGGGAAGACGTTCCATCCCGGCTTTAGAGCGGGGTAATTAGCAGGCGGAGCACCTAGTAGTTGGTATTATAAGGCCAGGGAGTTGTTTCGGGTGAGCCGTTGACATGATGCTTGTCAGTATGTATGTCTTGAGAAATGCCCGACAGGAATACGCCGTTTTTTTTTCTCCGTCCAGGGCCACGTGAACGACACACAAGTATTAGTGATACTCGATTACGGTCTGCAGGGCATCATGGTGTGCATTTTTGAGATACTTTTTCGTAATGGTTGTTGTCAGGTCCCGGAATGCGCCCTGCGAGATGATGAGAGAGGCGCACCATATCGATCGAGGATGGCGTCGTTCGCAATTTCACCAACTAACGTTGATCTTCATACAGAGTACCTACGAACCCCCCCGGGCTCCCCTGTGCTTGCTTGTACCTCAGAATATGTCGGGGCATAGCTAATGGCTGGCATAATTTCCACATTCTCAGGGGGGACCCATATTAATGACGTAGTCTCCCATAAAGAGGCTGGGATCGCCAAGGACAGCGCTAGCGCTAGCGCTTGGACACATCTCAAGGGGTTGGTTTCCAGGCAGGACGAGTTAAGAGTGACAGGTGGGGGGGAGGGGAGTTCTTGGTCCCGGCTCAGCGTCGGCAGACGGGGAGGCTATGTAACACTGCCCCCCCCTTCCTCCCCCCCCCACGGGGCACCGGCGGGGCATTTGGTTGAGATCAACTAGTTGTATAGGTAAATCCCTCGACTCGTCGGTGATCCTGGAGGGGAAGTGTTTGAACCGTCATTCTCCAGCAACGGATAAAAAAAGGCGATAGGAGCTCTCGGAGATATAACGGCGAATGATAGTATTATAGAGGACATGATGTAACCCTTGGCAAACCGTTGAATGCAGCGCCATAACCGAAGCCACACACACCAAGCTAGACTCGAGGAGCGCAGGATATGACACTGGATCTGGCGTTACCCTGAAGGCCCAAAGAGATGTCGTCCCTGTCGATCCCTTCTCTTCAGGAAATAGATCTCCTTGACACTTGCCCCAAGAGTTTTGACGGATGTCCAAGTTGTACTTGCCGGTGTTTATTTGCCACAAGTGATCGGCCAACCCATCAACATCGAAAGCGCCGGAGAAGTTTAGGGAGGGTCACTGCTACGGCAGGGATATGGTATTACATTGCGTGAGTTTGTGGAGCACTTGTCTGCGACCTGCTTGTCTACAGCCACAACCTCGTGGTAGCCCTGCCGATCCCTTCTCCTTCCACGCGCTACATTTTGCCCATTAACTTGATTTCTTGTGATTGCACGTACTATTATGGCGGCCCACTACTGGAACGACCCAGTTGAAGAAAATGAAGATCGTCCGTTCTGAAGGTAAGGGGCTCGTGGCATTAGGCCACTATAGCGACCGACTACTCCATCGCACAGGGGGCATGAACAAACCCCTCGGAGAAAGGAGGATAACACCCCTACTCGTAAGCCACGGAGTAGTATACCATTCCTCCTCCAAGAGATATAAAGCCCCCCTCCCGGATGCCCAGACATCACTAACTCTCTTTGCCTCCTCTTCTGCATCCAAACCAACTACAGTCACTCCTTTCTGTATCATTCACTAGTCTATCAAAGACGTCCTATCGTTCTATTTACAAATATCCACCCTTCATTTAAGTCGATATATAACTCAACATACACAATGAAGGCTACTTTCTTCACCCTGGCCACCCTGGCCGCCTCGGCTTTCGCCGCGCCCACCCCGTACCAGGAGTCTTACTCTGACGAGGGCTCCTTCGAGGGCGGTGTCAGCGCCAGCCCCGACGTTACCCTTCCCAGCGCCACGGAGGCCGCCTCGCCCGTCGATGCCAGCGCCGTCCCCGAGGTAGTTACCCTTCCCAGCTCCATCGCCGAGGAGGTCACTCTTCCCAGCTCCACGGAGGCCGCCTCCCCCGTAGACGCTGCCGTCATCCCCGGCCTTCCCGAGGGTGTTGTTCTCCCCACCACTGAGGACAGCGATGCCGTCTCTGCCCTTCCCGAGGATGTGACTCCTCTCCCCACCACCACGGCCGGCGAGGCTCTCCCTGAGATCGGCGAGGTCTCTGCCCTCCCTTCCGCCACCGGAACCCCTGACCTTCCCGGCGCTGGCGCCCCCGCCCTCCCTGGCGTCCCCCAGATCGGTGACGTCGCCGGCCTCATTGAGCTCCTCACCGGCCTTCTCGGAGACCTCACCGGCAGCTTCGGCAACATCGGTATGTCCTAACCTTCTATAGCACTCTATCTTGTTCAATAGGTACACATACTAAACAAGATTCTATACAGAGGCCCTCACCGGCCAGGTCGAGAGCGGCGAGAGCACCGCCAAGGAGGTCGAGCCCCAGGTCCTCAGCGAGCTCACCAGCGTCCAGTCCACTCTCAAGGAGATCCTCGGCCAGCTGAGCTCCCAGTCCGGCACTCCCCTCTCCGGCGGCGACGTCAGCGGCCTCCTCGACATCATCAAGAAGCTCCTCGAGCTCATCCTGTCCAACGGTGGCAACATCGCCGGCGTCCTCAGCGGCAGCTCCCAGGTCCTCTCGCTCCTCAGCGCCATCCTCACCATCGTCACCAGCATCCTCGCCGTCGTCGTCGGCCTCGTCGTCTCTATCCTGCCCGGCCTCCTCAACCTGCTCGGGCCCCTCCTTAAGGGCCTCACCAACGGCGCCCTTGGCCCTCTCCTCGCCCCCCTCACTGGTCTTCTCGGTGGCCTCGGCAGCCCCGACTTCGTTACCTCCCTCACCCAGACCGGCCCCCTCTCTGCCCTCATCGGCTCGGGTCTCCTCTCTGGCCTCCCTAGCCTCTAAACGGTTGATCCGTGAAATTCGCTTTGGACAGTGGTTGCACTAGGGACTGGCGTCCTTGTGTATGATGGATAAAGAAAGTTTGGTGTCTCGAGCACAGGTGCAGATCAAAGTAGATTATGCTTGGTTACGATTAGTTTAATATTACTTTGTATACGTGGCAAATACGGACTTTCTCGTTGTCGTGAGTAGTAGGTATTTTCTAGACCAGGTGACCCCGGCGTCGCTTCAGTAGAGCCGGAATCCTTGCAGGACTAGCT